TTTTATTCTTTCATGATCTTTGCTTGGTTGTAGCGCTTTGGATTATTTAAAGATTGAGCTATCTTTGAGCTTTGATTTACCATAATTAGGGTGCATATTTAGAGTAATGGTTATGAAACTATTCAATTATGCATAAGAATGAATGCATGAATGCAATAAGGAAGATTTACTATATAACAATTATTTATAAAGAAAATCTTTATTGAATTAAAAGTTATTTCTAACCAAATCTAATATTACATCCATGAAAAGTCTAGAGTTTATTGAGGAAAGAAATCCGTAATTTATTGATATTGGCATTGCACTTCATTATGGAAATCTAGCAATTCTTAGACATATGCTCCCACTAATGGCACTCATGTCTTCAATTCTTCAACTTTTTCTACCATATTGTTGGCTTTGTAACTAGTCACAGTGATTTGGTTAAGCAGGTACTCCAACCACTCATGCTTTCTCACATTTACCTAATTTTTTTACTCACATTTTTCGTTCACAATCCCCATTTGTGTTTCAATTTCAACCATAACCCTATTCAACATTTGGATGTGCTTTTGTGCCTTAAAGAGTGCCTCATCACTTTCTTGTAGCTTTACTTGTAACTATCTATTTTCTTTCAAAAGTTAGGCCATCTTTCGAGTGGTAGATGACTGTGTTGTGTTAAGGTTAGCGAACAAACTCTTTCATTCATCATTTTCTTGTTTGAGTGTTTAAACTTACCTTTTTAGACATAAGGTTGCAAGCTACAGCTTTTTAGGTTCCCTTTTTATATTGATAGAAGACTTTGCTAGACTTTTTATAGATGTAACTAAGATGCTTTTTGTTAAAATTGTTTGGTGATAATTATTTTTTATGATAAATCTAATGATGTAAATGTATGCCTATACAGTAAAAGAAAGAAGGTTAGTATGCATATAATATGTACAAAGAACAACATAAAAATTTATAAGTAGAATAATAATAAATGTCCCATCATGTGTCTTATTTAGGATTTTTTAACACAAAAGAGGTTAGACTTTAACTTAGGGTAGGCTAGGTTTAAAGGTTTGACAATCTAAGGGCTCCAAAATCACTCTTTATATCATTATCTATTATACACTAGTAAGGCACCCTAATCCTCACCCATCATAGGCTACAAACAAAAAGGGTTCAATTGAGTAAGAGTATTTCGCTAAACCATATGGAGACATGAAATCTCACGAAAGTGTAAATACTTTACTTTTTTCTTAGGGGACAAAGCTTAGGTGTAGAGCTCATGTTATGTATATGCCAATGGATGACAAAATAGTAAAAGTTGAAGCAAAAATAAATCAAGAAAAAAATCTTTTTAAGGAAAAAATTAGGCTTGGATAACACAAATTCATTTACTGGCTTGACTCTCGTCTTTCCTTAATAGAGTCACTAAAGTATCATAACATATAAATCTGTGAACCCATCGCTAGATATAGATATAGAGAAATTGCCACCAATCTTTTTCATGAAAGTGTGACTGGTCGCTTAAACGAATCAGTCCTATTTTAAAGAGGAGTCTTAAGCTTGACTTAGGTGTTTTTATATAGTATATTTTAGTCTACAAAAGTAAATTTATGTTTGGGAGTGTGGCTATGTGTGAGAAAGGTTATAACACTCTCACAGTGCTCACCCAAAGAATGATACTAGTTTAATTTCAAGTTATCTAAGTCTTAAAACATCTTTATAGTTTACCACATAATTTAATTATTGAAAATTGATTTTAAAGTTATTCCAATATTTTAGTAGTAATTTAAGATAATTTTCTCATTTCAGGAGTATTCATAAAAACTAGTATTCCACTTTGAAAAAGTTTCGTCATCAGATTCATCAATATATTTATTTAAAAAATATTTAGTAAAATCCTCCAATAGTTTGGTAAGATTTTGTTTTAATGCATATCCACTAATAGTTTGGTGGGATTTTAAAACCCAATTATAAAATTCAATTTAGGAAAACTTATTAAATCTTCCAATAGTTTGGTAAGATTTAATATAAGATTCAAATCCTCCAATAGTTTAATAAGATTTAATTTAAGATTTAAATCCTCCAATAGTTTGGTAGGATTGAAAATTTTTATTTTGTCAAAAATTTATTATGAAATTCTTCCAATTGTTTGGTAGATTCATAACTTAAAATTTAAATCCTTTAATCGTTTGGTAAGATTAAAATTTTTTTAAAAAAAATTCATTATGAAATTTTTAATCGTTCGATAGAATTGAAAATTTGTTTTTCAAGATTCATTATGAAATTCTCCAATTGTTTGGTAGAATTTATAATTTAAAAATTTCTAAACCCTTTAAATCCCCAAATTGTTTAGTAAGAATTATGAGTTTATTTTGAAATTTTTTTGAAATATCAATTAACACAAACAAAATTTACATAACTAAAATAAATAAAAAATTTAAAAAATAATTTAAATAAAATTTAAATCGAATCAAATGAATAAAATAAGAAAAAACCAAAAAAAGATGGCTCGACTCAATTTAGGAGATACGGCTTGGCTACAGAAGGGAAAATTGGCTGGAGCTGGAGTGGCTTGAAATTGTAGTTCAACTTAGCTTTGGCATTAGCTTAAAAGAATCGAGTCAAGGGTTTGGTCATGATTGGATTAGGTTAGGCAAACGGGGTCATGCATAGATCCTAGCTTTTTTTATCCCAAAACTTTACCATTTTGCAATAGTATAAAAAGGCAAAAATTTTTTTTTTTCTTTAGAATTCTACTGGCCTATCACTTTTTAAGTTAGTTTTCTCTCCTTTTTCTTTAGAAAACCATGACTGATAAATTCAACCAGCTAGCCCTAATTTATGTTTCGACATCAAGAAATTCAATTGGCTGTTAGAAAATTCAAAATTTTCAGAAAAGTTCACAAACTCATAATCTAGCCACCTTCCCTTCCTTTAACAGCTACAAAATCCATTAGAAAATTTAAATCTTCAATGAAAAATTCAACCTAGAACCTAAAAATCTCAACTATCCAAGCAAAAAACCCAAAATTTTCTAGAAAAACAAAACACAAACCCAGAACACAAAAATCTACCCAAAAATCAGAAACTTCCAAAAATCAAATAAAAAAATTAAACAGAATTAAGAAATTTAAAGTTCCCAAATTCCAAAAACTCCAAAGATCAAAACAATTTTCAAAACACTAGAAATTCAATTCCTTGAACCCAAAATTTAAAACCCAAAAAATTTCAATGCTCTAATTGCTTTGAATTGCTAATTGCTTTATGTGTGATACCCCTTTTTTCTCGTCCTTGTTCTTGTGTGTCCTTTTAACAAGGATTCAATCCTTTTAACTTGAAAAAAATTCAACCAAATTTGAAAATTTTGTGATTTGATTTGATTTGATTTTCATGTGAATTAATTTTTTATAATTTTGTTTTGCATGAATTAAGTCTCAAAAAATTTCCAAAATCATCAAATCATTTAGTTTAGAATTTGCTAATGACTCTAGGACCAAATTAAATCCAAAACCTTTCTTGCAAAATCCCATGTTTCTCCTTTTTTTTTTTTTTTGACTTTGACTCAAGAAATCAAAATTATCAAAAAAAAAAAAAACCTAAAATCAAAATTGAAAATTTGTGCTTTTAACTCTTAGGTCCAAAGTTTAGTTTTTATATTAAGGCTCAATTCGTGATCAAAACTCATTTTTTATTTTGAAAATTTTTTTTGAATGAAATAAAGTGTTTACATCTATAATCTATGATATACGTAAAAGCGTGGATGTTGAAAATTTTTTGAACCAACAAAACATATAATTTTGTTCATTATATTTTTAATTCTCATCTTAAATATTTTATATTAATAAGACTTACCTATAAATAAGAGAAAGAAATAAACAAGATTGAGGAAATTTCAACATCAATTCAAAAAAGAACTAAAACAACTTCGTGCAACTCACTTCTGTTGGCCAATGTATTCAGTAAACCAAAATTTTGGTACAATTTTGCATCAAGTTCTGCTCATATTGTTTTGTATTTCCTTGGCTATTCTTGTAAGTTCCCACTTCTTTTATGATCTTTGACGTTCAAGTCTCTATTTGTTTTTTTTTTCCTTTTCATTGTGCTGATGTGTTTCTTGTTTTCTATTGGAAATTTCTCGATTCCCTACCAAAAAAAGTCTTTTAGAATACGGAATTTTTATTTCTTAAAGAAGAATAAGTAATTTGTTTTATATATCCATTTAATTAGTTAATTATAAGTAAATGGGGTTGATATGTTAATATTTTCCTTGATACAAATGACATGGTCGTATCTATAACTTTATAATGAAAGAAATTTGTAAGAAAGAGTTATAATTTATAAATTTATGATTTCATTTCTTGAATTTTTATATCAAGTAGTATAGATATATAAACTTAAAATTATAAATTGTTTTAATTACTTTGTTTATAACATACATATTCGTATTTTTTTTGTTCGACAAAAAGGTTCGCATATATTTTCTCAAAAGAAAAACAAAAAAAAAAAGTATCCATTGCCAAATTTTTGAAGTCTAGCAAGCAATAAATCAAATTGAGCTCTTTCATGTACTCGAAGAAGAATAGTTTTAGCCTGTATAAAACTTAGCATTATTTTTTTATATTTGATATCGTCATAATTTGAATTCTGATAATTAAAATTAATAATTTAATAATTTATTAATAGATTATGTGATTATTGATGTAAATAATAGTATTCTAAGATAATGACTAATGATTTTATTATTCATAAAGGTATTTTTGTCTTTTTTACATCTTCTTATATTTTTAATAGTATTATCTAATGGACTCGTGAAAATTTATCTCACCTATTATTAGTAAATTTTTCTCCAATAGAGTTAATAGGATTTTTATGTATTTCATTAGGATATACTTTAAAATAAATAATGAATTTATATAAAAAATAATGAAACATATGACGAGCATTCGCTCGTGGAGTTTAATAATAGAAAAAAAGATTCTATAATAATTTTTATTGCTATATAAACAATCTCAAGTTTTCTCAACCTATGAATGATGTTTGGGCTTGGAACAGGGGAATAAGTTGAGTTTAATATCAAATCAAATGGCTTATTTTGAGGCCTCTATTTGTAAGATTTGTATACAAATTTGTATATTGGGTTTTAATGTGGCCAGCCCAAAAAGTAACACATGAAGCCCAAATAATGAGTAATATACAATATCTAAAATGCTAATAAATAATAATATCCAACTATCAACGTCGAACTCTAACATTTTAATGTTAAATCTAAAACGAAATTCAGATTTTTAGATGTTTTTTAAAGACCAGAAAATTTAACCTAAAACATTATTTATAGAAAATTTACGGAGTCACCAGAAATTCGCTGTTGAAAAGATTTCTGTCTAAATTTCACATAATTAAACCACCAATCCAATGCAATGTTAATTGTAGTAGTAATAATATAATACGAAATTTTGGTACGCTTTACGAAGCAAAACCAAAATCTCGAAATCTCACGAAAAGCCCGCATTTTTCTTCAAATCTTTTAAAAAAAATTAACAATAACCCAATTGGGTAACTCATTTCTCGTCCGATCCAGGTTACTTTCTTCGACAACTGCTTCGGGGTTCTTCAATCCTGGTAAGTTTTATTTGCCCATTGTTTAGATCTTCTTAATTTTTGCTTCTTTGTTTTTGATTCTAGTATTTGTTTAGATGCTGTTGAAACGGGAGAAAAAGAAAGAAGGAAATTTGTGATATTGAAACCAACCTAAAGTTACAATTTCAGTTTCTTTACTTCTCGCCATTTTGTTCAGTGACGACATAAATAGTTACCATTCTTCTTGGTTCAGTTGCTATTTCTTAGTTCTTTGACTTTCCCTTTTTGCTTTGAGGAGTTTTAAAGAAGATAGCTGTTTCCAATTCCAGTAATTTGGGTTTTTTTTTTTTTTTTTTTTTGCATCTAGTTTGCCTTCAGGAAATTATAATGGAAATGGTGGCTGAAGATGATGAGAATTGGCCTTTCTGATAGATGAGGAATGTTGTTGAAAAAAAATTAGGAAATGAGTCGATCTCCTTCATTTTCTGTGAAGCCGGAGCTTAGTTTGAAACCGGACCTGGATTCTTTGCAACGATGGGTTGTTGCCTTTTGTATCATTAGATTTGATCTTGAGCAAGGTCAGCTCATAGAAGAGTGTTATCCACCTGGTTTTCTAACTCAAGAAGAAGAACTTGAGGTTGCTTTTAGTTCCTTTCCAGATTCTGTTTCCCAGCACCAGAATCGCTCCAGCATCCATGATTGCATCTTCTTTTTTCGGTTTAGGAGGCAGAAAAATTCTAAACAAGGTAATGTGGCTTTGTCAGAAATAACGGAAAGTGATGATAAAGAAACAACATCAACATCCAAAGAGGAGAAAGTGATTAGGAGATCAAGTAGTAGTGGTATTAGTAAAGGTTCAAAATACTTGTATGGTTATGTTTTCAATAGGCAAAGGCATGACGAGAGGCTAAAACGAGGTGGGGAACAAAAATCTGTAGTAATTTTGTCTCATGGACCTTACTCTAGCGTGTTTAGACCTTTGTTACAAATCATGGGTCCTCTGTATTTTGATATAGGAAAAAAGGCTATTGATCATATTGCTGGTTATGTTTCCTTGTGGCCTACTCCTGTACCCGGTAAGCTAATGGAGCTTCCAATTGGTAATGCAATGCTCAAAGTGAACTTGCCACCTGCTCACAGCTTACCTTTGGAAAGTGGAATAGCATATCAAGAATCTGCTTCATCCATGGCTCCTTTTCTTCCCAATAATCAGTCAGTCCCACAAGGTTTGTTTCATGATTCAGATCTTTTTGGAACATTCAGAGGGCTTTTATTACAACTTTGGTTATTGTGGGAGTTGTTACTCATCGGTGAGCCAATTCTTATCATAGCACCAACACCTCCACAGTGCTCCGAGGCTGTTGCAAGTCTTGTCAGTTTAGTTGCACCTCTGCTTTGTAGCGTTGACTTTAGGCCATATTTTACCATCCATGATCCTGAATTTGCTCAACTGAACTCACTTCAAGAAGGGGACAAATATCCACCTATGGTTTTGGGTGTTACAAATCTTTTTTTCCTTAAAGCTCTTCGTAGTATACCCCACATTGTGTCAGTTGGAAGCCCTGCACCTAATTCAAGTCGGGTTGCCCTTGCAAGTAGGTCCACTGGAAGAATTCCTGGTAAACCAGAAGGATTTGGTCTTCAACAACTTGCCTTGAAGAAGTTCTCTCCTTCTAGTTTGTTGAATGCTGTGAAGCTGAGGAGAGATGGTCCTCTCTGTCTCATGACAGAACATAAGGAGGCCATTTGGAGTGCTTATGCTGCAACTACAAAGCCTGACACTTCTATCTTAAATAGGCTTATTGATGCTGGGATGTCACCAAGGGTTGAGGAATCTATGTCTGTTGTTAATAATGAGATACTACGTCGACATTTCCTGGAGCTCACTACCAACTTTTTGGCTCCTTTTGGACCATATTTAAGGGCTACCACTCCTCCTGAAGGATCTTCGCCATTTGGTGATCCCCCTCCTCTTCCTCCATTTAATGCTGATGAATTCCTTATGAGCTTATCAGCAAGAGGCGTGGGAAAGTTTCTCTCGAAACGTATGAGATCTAACTGGCTGGATCTTTATAGGTAATGTGAATATTTACTTCCACTTCCCAGCTTGTATTTGTTGGTTCCCTTTGTATGTGTATGTTTCCTGCATGCTAATTTTGTCATCCATCTTTTGCATTAAATCTTTGCTTATTGCAATCTATCAATTGTTCATTTGAGCTAAAGATTTATTATTTTTTCATTCAGGCGTTTTCTTAAAGGACCCAACTTTATGCCATGGTTTCAAAGACGACATGCTGTTGCAGAAAATGAACAACATAGATTATGGAGGCAAGCAAGAATGAAGACTGACACACATCACCTTATATCTAAAATGCCTGAACTGGAAGTTGTTGACTGTTTCAATGCTATTGAGAGACATCTACTTTCAGAAATACAGGTAATGTTGCCTTTTTTCAGGATTATATTGATGTTTCTGATTGATGTTGACTGCCTCAATGCTATTGAGAGATCTTCTTGGGAAATGCTAATTTGCCTGAGAAGACCAGTTAGTCTGGACTACATGCTTCTGATCACATTTTGACATGTAGAAAAATTCCCCTTTTTCACTCTTTCTTTCCTTCTTTATCTTTGCCCTTTTCGTCGTTCCTCATTTTCTTCTTTCCAGTTTTCAAGACTTCTTGCTCTCAATTCTTCATGAACTTTTTTTTTTTTTCAAAATTCTTCTCTATGTTAACCTTGTTAGCCCTCCCTCTTATTTTTCTCTCTAACTTTATAATTTTGTTACCTTCAGATGTGTAGTGCCAAAACCTACTAACCTGAAAATCATAAAATTAGGAGGCTCACTGAATGAGAAATTCTATAACCAGAAGCCATAAAACTTTTGAACTCAACTATTGAACTTCATTTTCGATCTTTAATGTGGTTATTGCTGTAGTAGAAAATTAGAAAATTTAAAGAAAAATAAAATAAAATCAATGGTGACTTTTACCATGAATACATTTGGTATTTTTTTTCATCATTTTATACAATTAAAGAGAGTGAAATGTTAGAAATACGAGGAAATTTAAGAACACAGAAAGAGATATTCTAGAGTCAATACTAGCAATAGTTAAAAGGAGGAAAAGATAGAAAGAAAAGAAAGAATGAAAGGAATTGGAGAACATGTCAATGAATAATTGGGAGTGAGTCAGTAAATGGTGTTGGACTACATGGTATGACATTTGTTAAAAGTGGAATACAGTTAGATATTCATTAAACAAGGATAGCAATTGTTCATGCCCTATATTCGTTTTAAGTCTAATGGGCCTAATAACATGAATGTAAATAGAATGACGAATTTCTTAAAAAATGTTTTACCTAGAGCAATCTGAAATTTGCTGCTGTCTCACCCTTTTCATTTGTGAGAAATGAAAAGTAATTAGGTTTAGTTTGGTTTTAATTTTGTTATTTCAGTTTACTTCCTACTACAAATTATGTGAAAAAGCTGTGGGTTTATTTTTTATATAATAAAATAGGTAATTACTTTTATAAATTATAAAATACTTCGTAGTTATAGAAATTTTTTATTCATCTGATGCATAATGTAACACAATTAAATTTTGTCAATTATGATAGTGCATTTGGGAAATGAAATATTATTAAGATTTTTTTTTATGGAAATAGTTTAAACTTGTTTATTTGAGAAAGTGAGGATCTTACCTATTGCAATGATTATTATTAAGGTTACTGTATGTAAAGTGACCCTTAATAAATCATGAACATCCTCCACCCACCGAAAGTTGCCAGCATGCAGGTGAGAGCACAGATCTGTTCCCCTCTGCCCCGTTTTCTTTCTTCCCTCTAGCCTTTACCAATTTGGCTCTTGCTAATCTCTGCAGCATGCCCCACCTTCCTCCTCTTCCTCTCCTCACTCGAAGGTGCAAGCAGTGTTTAGGAGACTGAACAAAACGCCCCCTCCATCCTCTGTTTTCTCTCATATCCCTTCATCTCTATTCCTTCAAAACTCTCTCTATCTCTCTCTCTCTCATAAAACTAATTACTAAAGTACAAAAATATCTCCTCAAAGTAATCTAATTCCTACTATGTCCATCAAAATTGGGATTGAGCTACACATGATCCATTTAGGTCTTGTCTTTTAGTTTCACTAAGTTTTGAAGTTGCTATGAAGCAAAAGCAAGTGGGGAAAGAACAAATAATATTAGGCCAAAAATAAGTAAATAGTTTCAAAAAATATCACTAATTCATTTAAAATGGTTGTTTGTGGAATTAAAATCATGTGCTTTGTGCTTTTGGAAGCAAAAAAATCAGTGAAAGGTTAAAGCAAGTAACAAATGTAACAACCAAAGTGTAAATTGTTATTACACATGATGTTTTGGTTGAAGAAACATATGCTCAACTTTTTGATAAAATTTTCCTGTTCTACTTGGGTCCTGAATGATTCATTTTGGCCTTTCTCTCATTCTAAATGTGTCTGCCTCCCACCAGCTCTAGTTTACTGATCATCAATCTTGTAAACAAACATTTTTTTGTCACTTATTCCTCACTAATCAGGTTATAAGATAGCACCTCTTGGATCTTGAATAATCATTTCGCCCTTTCTCGCATGACCTAAATGTCTCAATGTGCCGCACACCAGCTCTAATATACTTAACATAAATCATTCAAACAAACATGTGTTTATCATGCCTTATTTCTTCCTCCCTAATCAGCTATAAGATAGCATCATTCATCCTTTTGGTGACATGCTATGTTTAATATGCTCAATTTCTGTCTGGCTTCATTAGAGTATTTGCAAATGAATTTCTCTCTACCACGTTATTCTTGTATTAAGAAAACTATTTGAAATTATGCCTGCAAAATCCATTTTTCAAAAGCATGGCATAAAAGGATTAGAAAGAATTTATACTGACTATAAAAATCAGAGATCCTATTAGGCTTGCGTCCAAGGCTTATTTTATAATACTAAAACAAGCTACTATCTAGTTACTTTTGATAAAAGTAGTGTACTTTAATATTGTTTTCCGTTTTATAAAAAATCTTTAGTTATGTTTTAATGAAAAACCCGTCTTCATACCTCCCTTCCCCTCTCCAAAAATAAATAAATAAATAAATAAAGCAAACAAAACATACATGATAATGAGATAATCTCATTTTGTCCTCACAAAGCAAGAGCCTAAAATATTCCAATACATGATTTGTGTCTACATCATGTGTGTCCTATATGACCTTGCATAGGCATTGTTTTGCTCAAACTATATATTTAATGCTTTCCTGGTTAATTTTATACATAAGACTGCTCTAGGGCACAGTGACACAATTTTAACATGTTCATTAAATGCAATCTTCAGTTGCAACAATCTGGAAGGGCTTTAGCAGACTCTACAGCAATGTGCCAGAAACTGAAGGGTGATCTACAGGCAGTGTTCAATGTACTTCCGAAGGACATGCAGCAGCTTCTACTATTAAACCCCCAGAGGGCAGCTCTTCTACAGGGAACTTCAAGTCTGGAATTGACAAAACTTCCTGGCCGCCCTTTGATACAAGTTGGGGTTTTATCCTCCAATTTGCCCAAATAACACAAAGTATCACTAGGAATCAGTTTGCCTCTGGTATTGAGGGTCTTCACATGCTTCTAGTAAGGCACGGGCTGTGATTTTCTTGTAGCTTCATCTGCTTAGTGGGATGAAGAATCCCCCAACTTCTGGCATAATTGTTCATATGGGTGAGACTAAATCCTCTCACAACACTGTTTTTTGTACAATCATGTGTCATGCAATTTCATAGAATTTTCTTTATTTGGACTTCGTTTTTTTCTTGATGTGTGAGAATGAGAAACTTGTCTTGAATCCACCATGTTTTTAAGCATATCTAAGATAATTTATTTGCAAAACCTACACAAAAGTTAGAAAAATTTTCATGGATATTGCTATTTATTTATTTATTTATTTTTCTAATGGGAAGTTGAAGATTCATGTTGCTTTCATTATTAAGAAACTATGTGTAAGCTACTGTATCTTCTCAGCATTTTCTTTTTGTAATCTTTATGGTTGCAATTTATTGATTTTGGTAAAGAGATATGAGCTTTCATTATTATTAATTTATTTTATAATAGTTATTGATTTGAAAGCCTTTATCCAATATAATCAGAAGATGTGGAGTATCAAAAAGCTATGGATAAATATGTCGCAAAATCCCTGGAAGAATTGTGTGACCCATGTGATTTGTATGATAATTTATGATCCTTGGAAGTGGTCTTGGCTTCATCTTGAAAGTTTAAATCTTCTTAAAGGGGTTCTTATGTATATCATATCTTTGCAGTTTCATACCTTCTCTGCTGCTAGGGTTCCCCTTCGCAAGAGCGACAGTGATAGTAAATGTTTTCCTCTGCTTATTGTTCATTACTGTTTCGTTTTTGGTTTTGATTTTGGTCATAATTAGCATTGTGTCAAACATTTGAAAGTAGAGTATGAAAGAAATTTATGCACAAATCAAGATTCAGCTTTCTACCTTATTGCTATGTGTCTGATGGAACCTGAGACATAAGGAAAAAAAAAAAAAAAGCAAAATTGGAGTGGATTGGTTGCCTTGTGATTTTATGGTGAGTTACCGTCAGTGGTTTATTGGATAAAACTTCATTGCCTATTGTAAGGCAAGTTGTTGAATGGACCACAACCAACCATTTAGCAGTTATTTTCCCCCACCGTACATTGTCATAATGCTGAAGAATTGATTGTTGATAATGACATTCAAAGTTTGTGATGTTTCAGTGTTGGGTCTTTGGACATTTTTGAGTATGATGTTTTGTGTTGTGTTCAATTATTGCGGGCTCCTCCAATTTTCATTGGATTGATTCATAAAATCTCAATATCAAGCATAATCTTGATTGATTTTTTTTTTTTTTCTTTTTTACAAAGTTGTTGGGATGGGAGTTGAAATTATTAGGATTTGAATTCTAAATTTGGTGAATTTTATTTCTTAAGAGTCATTACATTAACTATCAATTTCTCAATATTATCTTCATTAAAGTACGAACAAACTTCTAAAAAATTTATTTCTTTAAAGTGAGTCATCCTTAAACTTTTAAAACATAAAGTTGGAAAATATGATGCAAATTAAAATACCTTTGTATGTAGAATTTTGTATCATTTAAAAGGGGCATATATTTAATTAAAGAAAGGAAGAATACAAATTTCAATTTTCATAGCAAAAGTTTAATTAAGCCCAGCGTCAGAAAAAGTTCATTTCAACTTTTTTCTAATGCTAATTTCCATATAATAAATGGAACAAAAAAAATTTTTCCTCGAAACAAAAGTTTTGATACTTTATTTTGGTTGAATAATGCATCCTCAATGAAATTACAGTTTTAGCTATAGAGGTGAAAAAGACAATATGATACTTATATAATTATATAATTTTTTATTATTTTATATTTTATTATAATTAATTGAATTATTAAATATTTATTTTATTTAATTGAACTTTCAATTATATGAAAATTGATGATGATGATTTATTAATTTTTGTTTAATTAAAATTTAAATAGATAAAAATAAATATTTAATAATTCAATTAATTATAATAAAATATAAAATTTATATAATTATATAATTTTAATTGCAAAATATGTTTTATACTTCATAAGAAGAAAAGAAGGCTAGAGAAGAATAATGTGACGTTAGTTGCAACAAGAAATGTAGAATCGGCCACGTTTTAGAGAGTGATGAGCATTGGTGGTTGGTTCGATTCAATTCTCTCTCGCCCCACGCCCTTCCCAAGGCCGTGCTAAACCCCCACGCAAAAATTATCACATCGTATTTTCTTTTATTCTCAATTTTTTTTTTTAATTTATACTTTTATATGAGAATTCAAACATATTGACTTATATTTTATTTTTGAAAATGAAAATTTTAATATTAAAAATACTTGTAATCAAATAAAGTTTAAATATTTTTATTATCTCTTGAGTAATATCAAAACAATATAAAAATCATATATATATATTGTTCTATAAAATATTTTTATATCTTTATATACGTTGAATAATCAATTATTTGTAGTCTTTTTTGAAACAATAGTTTTTCAAGGGAGAAAGACAGAAAAATGTGAAAATGTGCGCGTGGTGGTACAGTTTTAAAAAGATTCTAACCTCTCTCTTGATTTCGCTGCCTCTATTATGTAAGGAAGGACAAAAATTTTAGACTAAAATTTTTAAAAGAATTTAGTAAAATTTTTTATTAAACAACGCTTAAATAAAAATTTAAATTGATATATTAAAAAATTTTAATAAATAAAATAAATAATATATACAAAAAATTATCAAAAATTTTGTTTATATTTTAAATTCGATTAGCACTTATTTAATATTAAAAAATTTTATCAAAGTTTTTAATAAAAATAACTATTTAAAAAATAATAAAAAATTTAAAATTTTTAAATTTTAAACAATTGATATATATAATTTTTTTTCCATTTAAATTTTTATTTAATTATTTTTAATAAAAAAATTACAAATTTCACTTAAAATTTTCGTTAAAAGAAAATCAATACTAGAAAGGATTTGATGATGTATGTATTTTTCCATAATTTTGTTCTTGTTTATGTATTTTTTATATGAACATGACAATCTTACAACGTGGTCCCCATCAATTTCATTTTATTGTTTTTTTTTTTTCTAATTTCATTTTATACTTTGATACACTCCCATAGTCCTTATCCTTCACTCACCTCATTTATTCTTTTTTTTTTCCTCCTTTGCTAATGCAACCAAGCTATTCAACATAAGAGAATATTGAGCTTCAAGCTTGGAAATTCATGGCAGGAAGTGTTACTTGGAGCAGAGAAGAAGAGAAGGCTTTCGAAAACGCCATTGCAATGCATTGGACGGAGGAGGAGGAATCTAAAGAGCAATGGGAGAAGATTGCTTCAATGGTTCCTAGTAAAAGTCTCGAGGAATTGAAGCACCACTATCAAATACTAGCGGATGATGTTACTGCAATAGAAGCTGGTCAGGTGCCACTTCCCTGTTATACAGGAGAGGAAGCCATCTCTTCTGCTAAGGATGTTCATGGATTTTCGGGAGCTGCTGCTCTTACTTCGGATAAGAGATCCAATTCTGATTATGGAAATGGATTTTCGGGGTTAACCCAAGACTCGAGTGGACATGGAGGGAAAGGAAGTTCGAGGTCGGACCAAGAAAGAAGGAAAGGAATTCCATGGACAGAAGAAGAGCATAGGTATTCTCTAATTACTACTTTCTGTTTGTTAATTGTTAGTATTTTACCTAACTCTAGCAATTGAATTTGTCATTTTTTTTACATGAACAAATTTTGCTATATCCATTATTTATTTGTTTAATTAATAAAACTTAAAATATTATTTATGATTGTTTATTAAATTTAATAAATAAACATAAATGAACAAAATTGAATATATTCTATAATTGTTCGTTAAACGTTTTATTTATTTATATTATGAATGTAAATGAATTATATATAAACGAATTTTATTATATTTGTGAATTGTTTATTTAATTAATGAATCTTAAAATATTATTTATAATAATTTATTAAATTTAATAAACGAACCAATATTAAAATTATTGTTAAATTATTCTTCAAAAGATTTGTTTGTTTACACTCTAAATACTTATTCACTAAAAAAAAAAAAGATGGATATTTTGTCAAATTGCACTACTAAAGTTAACTGAAATTGTAATTGTACAAAACTCGGTTTTCAATTTCATATGTATTGATATTCTTTAACTGGAAATAGGATTTGGCATCTTTTAAAATATAGAGCTGCGACGTGACCAACATTACATTTGTTATCCAGGTTATTTCTACTTGGTTTAGACAAGTTCGGGAAAGGAGATTGGAAAAGCATTTCAAGGAACTTCGTGATATCAAGAACCCCAACGCAGGTGGCTAGCCATGCGCAAAAGTACTTCATCCGCTTAAATTCCATGAATAGAGACCGGCGAAGATCCAGTATCCATGACATCACAAGCGTCAACAATGGGGTTACGTCTCATCAACCGCCTATCACTAGTCAACAGGCTTACACAAACTCATCGGGTGCAGCAGCCCTGGGACAATCGGTGAAGCACAGTGCTCAGCCCCATCCGCCTAGTTTAGGCATGTTTGGAGCACCTGTTGGCCATCCGGTTGCTGCTCCAGGGCATCCAGGATCTGCTGTAGGAACCCCTGTTATGCTTCCTCCCGGTCACCACCCCCACCCCCCTCCTCCCTATATCATGCCTGTTGCTTACCCCATGGCACCACCACTGATGCACCGATAAGTTAAAATTCAATCATGTGGGGGCAACAAAGCAAATTCTGTTTTCTTTTTTTTTTTTTTTTTAACATGAAATATGCACATGGAACATTCCTAAGGCGATTTTTATAAATAAAGCAGATATATCATATCAGACAACTGTTTTCCTTTTTTTTTTTCCAGTAGTAATCCATCACCCACTTCAGCCTTCATAAATTCTTCTTTTACACTCGAGCCTTCCTAATAAATTCTTATGCTGTAAGTATAGTCTATTCACTGCACCATAAAAGTCTTGTATTCTTATTTCCATTCTTCCTACAGATTCAGAAAAGCACTTCTCAAAGATCATATATTCAGAAAAACATCAGTCGAAGAGATGCATATCATCAATCACATTAAAAGTTTAAACATCCGTCATGATGAAACCTATCCGAATATAACTTGTCTATAAGGACAAAATTACGTGATAAAAAGGGACGAGGATAAAATCTCAAAATTTTAAACACCCCTTTCATTTTAGATGAAAATGTCCTGTGAGGATATGATACAACAATTGTTTTCTTCCCCACCTCCACCATAATGGTGGCTCAAATAGCCGTCTCTTTTTAAGTTGTTTTTCTGCAAACAAAGCCAAACATGTAAATTAAAGGAAAATCATGAGAAACCATTCCTAACACCACCTGATAAGTTTGAACTCACATGCCAACAATAATGCAGACAAACACAGATGAACCTCCTGCATGCATGCTTTTAGTTCCAAACATTGAATAACTTTTTCTTTGAGCGAATCAATAGAAAATAAATGAACAAACTATATCAACACCTAGACCGCAAGAGGAGTTTGAAACAGTTCCTTACTTTTGTTCTCCATAGAATACATCCCCCACTGTGACTGCAATTTTTCTAAGCTTGAACTTAGAGTAGGCCAGTACTTCATCTGAATCTTCAATACTTCCAACACTGTATGCAGGCCAGCTTTAGAAGGAACAATGTTCTCTGGTTCACACCCATAACTTTCACCCAACAGTACCTTTTTTATTGGAACAAAAGAAAAGCCATGTCAGAAGATATTGCATTACACCATTTGGGCTTTAGTTCAAGTGATAAAGGGTAGAATGGAATTTGGGTAGAAACCCTATTTTTGAGCCACAACATTCCCTCTTATACCCAAAACAAAGAACAAATTGTATTACAAATGCTTTGGTTAACACATCAATAATAATGCAACATACATGTGTTTGACTATGTATTCATACATCAAGTATACAAAGTTGACATATATGCACATACAAAGTTTTGTAATTGTTTATATAGTTCATTCTTACAAAACCAACTGTGACAGTATAACTAGATCTCTATTCCATTGTGTGTATTTACCTTAATCACTGCAGTAGCAGAAGATGATATTGAACGGAGGTTGTAGCTGCCAGAATAAAAAAGTCAAAATGAAAAGCTGAAGTAAATGATAATCTTGACTGCACCAAACAGCAAAGAGAAAACCACAAACCCGCCCTCAAGTATAACTAGCAACTTTCCATTAGAGAGGGTACCCAACATGTGTGTCATTTGTGCATAACCGGCAGGAGTCACCTACAATGACAAAATTAACATCATTATCCAAGGCAAGTCACACAAAGGATGGAGACATTTTATGGAATTAAAAAATCCAAAATACCCATGAAATGAACCAAAAAGTCTATTTACTCCATTTAATGAATTAATAACATTTAGGCACTAAAGTTCAAATAATCGGTACAAGGGCATAAAATAGCTGAATGGAGAATGAAATCCAAGAGCATATATGCCCTCTAAATGCAGCCAATCATATGTTTTCATAAAAATAAATTGTTGAAGACTAGAGGTAATAACATAGCTTTCTAAAAGGTTCCCTTGATTTATTTTTTTTTTTGGTCAATAAAGTTCTCTTGATTAAATCACAAAATGAGAACACACTTTATACATTAAGAAAATAAACCTACATCACAGCTTCCTAATGGATCACCACGAGCAGCATCAAATCCAGCTGATATGATAGTGAAATCAGGAGCAAACTTGGAAGCTGCAATTAGGTGTTTGAAAAACTGTTAATTGGATTTAAGCAATAAATCAGCTATCAACTAATACAGGTTGTAAGATCAAGAAATTATGGCCAAGAATACAGAGATACAGATACAGAAATAGGATGCTAATCATAGCTTATAAAAGAGATAATACAAATGCAAGAAACATAAGAAATCCTCAGATACAGAAACATTAGAAATGATGGCCAAGAATGCAGATATACAGATACAGAAATAGGATACTAATCATAGCTTATAAAAGAGATAATACAAATGCAAGAAACATAAGAAATCCTCAGCTGCATTATAACAGTATGCAATAATACAGACAATTTGCTGATCATTTCAAGCAATAAGAAATACAACAGAGATAGAGGTCCTACATTCTCACTTAAATTATATAAATCAACAAGCTGTAGTAAGCAACTTGTAGAAACACTTTAAAGTTCATAAGGTATATACAACTGCCAATAAATTATTTCATCTTAATAGTTAGTTCCTCTATAACATTAAGGATTCTTTCTCAACACAATGCATTGCTCTCACATTCACAAAGCATATAATTGCTCTTATTCTTAAATATCCAGACTTTGAAATACACCATCATTAGCAACTCTAGTTAGCGACACGCCTAAAAATTCCATCAATATGATCTGAATACTATAATTTAACATAGATGAATACAAAGTGATATGAAGGGACTAATGTTACAGTACAAATCATGCTTGGCAAAAATTCAAGACATTTTAATTGAACATGAAATAAGGTCCCAGATTACTGTTCTAATTAAGGTGATGCATCAAATTTACCACTCAGAACAAGCGCAATTTACCATGCACTTTCTAATTTAGTTAAAAATGGTCACAAGTTAAAAAACTCTAGAATAGTTGTGGGAACTGAATGTATATTGAAAAACTGCTTATCTACAATTATATAAGAATCTTAGGTTTATATACAACTAACTAGGGGTTAAACTAGGAAACCAAATCTTCCTTAATTCTAGGGATACAAATACTTAATTCTAGAGATACAAATATAAATATACAGATTACAAGATTACAACCAGCTGTAAATAAGTGTTTTCCCACAATAGTCCTTTTATATACTCACTGAAACTTTTTTAACCATTAATTTTAACTAGAAATGTTCATGGGCAGGACTGGACCAAGTCAGGAACAGTTAACACCTCTAAAACTCAAGCTCGAGCTCGATCTCAATCCGCCATTTAAATTAAGATTATTATTATTAAAATATTTAAAATATATATATTTCAATATATTAGAGTTTAAATTTGATTAAAATATATTATACATTAATATAAAACATTTTTCGACCATGCCTGAGCCTAAAACATCATGTCCAGGGCCCAAGCAGAGTCAAAACAAGCTTGTGGACCTGGCGAGAAGCCTATTTGTACATACACCTATGTTTTTGACCATTTTTAACCAAATTAAAAAGTATAGTGGTAAAATTACACCTATTCAAAGATTAATGGTAATTCTGATCCATCACCCCAAGTAGAGTGGTAAATTTGGACATTATCCCATTGAACATTAACAGGTAATGATGGATATATGCTAAGACACTTCAAGACAAGCCATTATATTTCCAAACGGCAACAACAATAATATATTATATATTATCACACTGTAAATTGAAAAATCTCCTTGGCATAACTTGTCAGCCGCCACTGACTGGCATTGAAGCACACTGATTCACTGTGTAAGATAACATTGATGAAATGCATCATTCCTAGGTTGTTAAAGCACTAAAGTTTTATTATGCTATCCCATATTCATCTACCAAATGATGGTTGAAATGCAAAGTTATACTAAAAAATAAGAAATAACAACCTATTGGAAGCACAACATGTTGAAAGGCAAAAATATAATCATTATCTCCAACTCCTCCACGACTCCATGGAATATTCACACAATATCCTTCTGCACCCTTGCTACCAACCTATAGAATTAAATTGAAAAAAGAAATTAAAAAAGCGGAGCATTGATTACAGCCCAAGATACATAATAAATGAACAAACCATATAAAACTGCAGCCTTCAACATACAAACAGATTTGACAAGATATATATATATATATATATATATATTGATCTGTCTATCTAGTTCTTTTTCCTGCATCTGGTTATATGATGCAGGAAAAAGAACTTGACGGACAGATCGATAGAATGACCAATGAGCATAAATGTTAATAGAACCAACACCTGCACATACAAGTCAAATACCCAGAAGAAAAGAATGAGTGACAAATTGGTTAATTGCAATGTATCTGCCTGGGGTAATGTTGCAAGGAATACGCATCATGACTGCAGAATAAATAACTACAAGCAGCAAGACTATCAAGCAGAGTCAGAATCAGTAGGACAAAGCATGAACCAAGCACAGTAGTCAGACCTCATCAAACCTTCTTTTAGAGTATGTATAATATATATATATATATATATATCTACAGCAGCATGTATATATCATTTGGTTTGACTCCAGAAGGACAGTGAAGTCTTAAAACAAGAAAAAAAAAAAAAAAAAAAAAGAACTAAGGCACCTTAGAGACTTCTCCTAACACCTGAAAGAACTAAGCAGCAGGCTTTTTCATTTCATCACATATTGCCAGCTTACCAAAAGGAGAAAGTTTATGATAGCAGAAGGATTCTTCATATCAACATCAAGATAAAGGCTTTATAACTTGACTCTAATCCATATTTAACATCTATTAGCAAAAAGCATAACCATAATCTAACATCCATCTCATTGTGTCCTAAGCACCCAATGTTAATAAGAATACAGTAACAACAGCGTGTGGCCAACCCAATTTGGATAAAATTCCAAAATTCAGAAGTTTTAACGAGATTAATTGAAGAATTGAAATTACATAATGATATATGAGTCTGATATTACATATATTAGCGCCAAAGCACATCAGCCAGCCACCAAGAGTCCCAAAGAGATAATAAGCAGTCAATATTACAATAAATACCCATCTCTATTACTATTGATATCTCCCTTTCTTCTATCTTCTATTAGAAGATGTGATGGCAAATAACTAATCCACGTGTAACAAGGCAAAACTTAGCTACATAAGTTACCTGAATAAATTTATCAACTAAGAAGAAATTTCATATAAATAATATTTATCAACCAAGAAAAGATTTCATATAAATAATAATCAAGTACCTCAAAAGCTGCCCCAGTAC